CCTGTGTGTGTTAGTGGCTGTCATACCACTGCATTTCTGTCAGGATTTCAATTGAGCTGTGTTTAAAATCTCTGTCCCACATTGATCTTGATTTTTCTCTTAACACCTATGAGAAATTTCCATTCTGTTCCATACACTGTCTCAGGTGTCCTGTAATCTATTATTTTTCTTAGGTTCTCATCTTCATTTTCATGACTCATTTGATATTCAGTTATATTTCAAAAGAGTTGCATCCAATTTCATTTTATGCCTGCCTTTCTACTCTACTCTCAGTCTTATGTGTCTCTGCAGCATGCTTCCATATATATACCTTTATCACCTTTTTAAAATTAGTGGACATCAATTTTATTAAAATGCTACAGTCATTTAGAGTAATTTATGTCATCATTTTCCAATTGCAAGCTTAACATTTTTATCATGTCTCATTTCTGATTTTCATCTCCTTTTAAAAAGTCTATCTAAATGGTATCATTCTTAAATGGAGATTTAATAATAGTTTTGTGATAAAATATAGTAATCCAAAAATTTTTTATGTCTTTGTTCCCAATAATCTAGAACAATCTCTCATATAATTCAAATAATTTAGTGAATACTTCTGCAGTTTGCCTCCATAAAATTTAATCTGTTTATGAAGAAGGATAATGCTGCCTTCTTTCCAGTGATTATAACCTGAACCTACTGTACTGACAATCAAGCCCTCTGCAGGCATGAGGAGCAGAAGATACTTTTGAAGATACAGGGAAAGAAGATACTTTTACTCAGATCTGATCTGAGAGGGAGGCTTCCCATGTTTAACCCCAAATATGATACTGTTTATTCAGCTGATATAATCTCAAGGTAAGTAAAATCTTCTCTATTGCTACATCCTAAAATTTTTAACTTTTATTATGTGGTATTTAATCTCATGATTTTATGGGAAAAACCTATTCTATCTATTTAAGTTGATGATGAGTTTTTCCTTTAGAATCTACAACCGTGGCTGGTGACACAGCTGAGGTTTACAATGCCACATGAACCTTCATTTTTGGATAACTCAGTTGCTCAGATGCTGGAATTTTTTGCACAATGTGGGTTTCCTATCTGCAATGATTTTTTGCAGACTGATTTTTAAATTTTTTATTATTTTATTTTTATTTGCTCCAATCAGTTATATATTTGTAAGTGGAAGTCCACACTCTTGTCATCAATGTTCCAACTGTGTTTCTCTCTGCTGGGAAGGCTATGCTGCCCACAGTGTGATTAACAGAATCCACTCTCCTGCCCTTAGGAAGTGTTTGCAGATGTTTCTGCATCTGCTGTTTGGCGCCCTTCACTGTTGAAGCATTCTTTGGGATTTCTTTTGGAGGAGTTTTTCCCACTAATTGATGTTATCATGGGGAGCACTGCACTGTGCTTTCTGAAGTTACGAAATATATGGTAACTCAAGTCTTCTAGGAATTTCCCGATAGCTCTCAAAATTCCCATATTGGTGGCACAATCAATCACAGTCTCATCTTCACAAATATTTGCAATTTCCCAATTGCTCTTTCATATTTTTATTTATTTCCTTTTTTCTTATATCTCTTCCTCTTTCTTTCTCCCTTTCCCTCTCCCTCACCTGCTCTTTCTCTCTTTCTCCCCACCTCTCCTGTTGAACCTACCACTGACATTCATTCCCAGCCCTTTCTATTTTTTAATTTGAGACAGGGTCTCATTAATTTGCAGAGACTGGCTTTCAACTTGCTATCCTCTTGCCCCAGACTGTGGGGTCACTGGATTACAGGAGTGCAACACTACTTCTGACCTCTCACTAACATTGTATACCTGACACTATTGTGCTCTCAAAATAGTAGTACATTCTCATGACAGGGGTGTTAAATGTAGGATTTTTTACAAGAAACTGAGTTTGACTTTGTTTTTCCTTTCTATTCTGGGTTGTTGGTATTGTGTGCTCTCCTTCATAGAAATTATTTTCTTTATTTTAGGACTTACTCTGCTATTTGTGTTCAAATGCCATCACTTCTAGAAGGTTCTAATGTACTCTGCACATTTACTTCCAGAAGGCAATCCCCAGTACTGCTTGTAGACTTTTATTCACCAGGTGACAAGTAAAAGGTGCTTGTGTTTTGAACACATTGAGAGATCAGGGTTTTCCTGTTTGTCTTTTGTGACTTGTAGTTAGGGCCTTGACATAAAGGCCATGTCACTTGAGCACTTGCACTTGGTGGCCCTCCCTTCAGGGCTGGCTTCTGGCACATTTCCTCCCTGCTCTCAAGTGCCTCAGGAGAAACCTGGGATTCTGCAGTGAGTGTGGGTGTGGTGCTGTCTTTATCTTTATTTCTTCCTTAGAACTTTATAGTTACACAGAGTAGTTGGACTCATCCTGACAAAATCTTCCATGCATGGAATTGGACTTTGGTTCATGACCCCCTTTCCCTCCCCTTTCCACCCTGTGCTTCCCCTCTCCATTTCTCCCTCCTCTGCTTTTATTATCCTGACATTGTTGTGCAGGTTCCTTGACTAGAAAAGACTGTTTATAATCTCCCACTCTGGTATTTTAATTTTCCATGCTTTTACTTCAAATACTTTGATAATATCTATTTTGAAGCATAAAATGTAAAAACCCGGGAATTGTGGTTGGTGACTTTTCAACGTGTCTGACTTCAGTTGCTAGCCTTGCCAGGAAGTGAAAGAGCTTCCCACGTTTTGTCTCTTTGGATGCATATCTGTTCATTTGAGCACATAGTTGTCTTTATGCGTGTAGTGTAGAGTGTGCTTTGTGATTTATAAACATGGTGTGGAAGGTGTAATAAGGTAGTAAATACACCCATAGCTTCCACTATTTAACAGACAGTCCTACCAAGAATATTTTCATTTCATGCTCTTGCTAAAATTGAAACATTGGACAGAAGTTCCTGCTGTCCCCTCTCTGTGCACTGGTGGGACAGACACCATCTCAGCCTGGGTGTTGAAATACCCATGGAAACAGCATGGAAACAGCATGGAAACAGCTGCCCACCCTGTTGTTCTGTGTCCTATCGTGGATTTAGCTTGTGTTCCTTCATTTCCCACTTGATTTTCCCTCCTGGGAGGACAAGAGTAGTGTGCTTGGACTCCTCAGGTCCCAGGGTTTCTCCTCTCTGCAGGGATCCTCTTTCCTCTGCTCCCCTGCAGTGGGGCTGATCCCACCCATCCATCCAGGCTGTGCAGACTTGGGGGCATAATGTCCAGATGACAGCCTGGGAATTATCCCTGGGCTCCTAGCCCCTGCAGGGGGAATCTGATCTTCATTGATAATGAAGGGAATGTTGTGAATAGATCTGGATGATGAAGTTATGAACTATTTGGGATTGCTAAGGGCAGGTGTCCTGGGAAGGAGAGAAGATGGCTGAAGAAAGATCTCTGCTAAGAGTCAGGAGGGGGTAGGCCACGCCTTAGTGAAACTGGAAAATTGCAAATACATTTGAGGTTTCACCTGCAACCATCAGTGTATGTGTTAAAGATATGGTGCACTTTCAAAACTCAGAGTATGTTCACCACAGTCAAAATCAAGAGTCAGGATTTTAAAATTATTCTAACTCATAAGCCTGAATTGCATAATTGGTGGGAGGCACAAATGAGCCTGTGGAGGAACAGGACTCCATCACTGTGGGGGCTCAATAGTTAATTTGAGTGCTGCTTCCTTAACAGGATAATGAGTTTGGGATCATTCCAGTACAGATCATGCCCAAGCAGGGACTGTGTAGCCTGGGTGGTGAAAGTGACCTGAGAATGTTCTCATGGACTTGCTCAGTGTGGAGACACATGGGGGATTGACCAGAGGTCCGGGAGGGAATGAAGGACTGTGGTTCAGGTAAAGAACAACTGGATCAGTGTGAGACTGACCAAGTATTCTAAAGTATCCCTAAGCAAATGAAATAGTGAAATAAACTCCAGAATCCAATAAGAGAAATTGAGATGTTGACCTCATTAATTTCAATATTAACCTGAAAGAATGTCATATCATTTTTGTTGCAGTTACATTTGTGAAGATTCTTTTTTCTTTTCTCTTTTAAATATTTTTTGTAGTTGTACATGGATACCTTTATTTTATTTATTTATCTTTATGTGGTGCCGAGGATCAAACTCAGGGCCTCACACGTGTTAGGCAAACACTCTACCACTGAGCTACAACCCCAGCCCCTACTAATTCTTTTTTCATAAAAAACATAAGAAACATTCAGATAAAAGGGTGGATATTCCACAAGTTTCAGGCCTCAGGATACAGGGACGTTTGTTGGACGGCATTTATCCACCATGATATGATGCTGGTTCTGCTGGGTATTCCCTTCTATGTTGTTTGTCCTGAGCACTGTGGGACATTGAGCAGCAATCTTGGCCTCGACCTCCTGCATGTCAGTAGCTCTGCACAAGTTGTGAGAACCACAAATGACTCAGATTATTGCTGTTTGGCCCATGATTTGGGAGGGAGGTGAAAAGTCCCCACATGGGGAACGCTGTGTTGGAAGAGTGTTTAGCAGTCACTGACTTGCAGGAAGGGCGTGTGCTGTGAAAACTCCAAGACAGAAGTTCAAGTACACAGGGTCATCTGTCTGTTGGAAGGACCATGCTCTTCAGAGAGGTGAGGCTACAGAACACAAGCTGAAGATGAAACACAGTCTGAGCGCAGAACAAAACTTGCCAGATAAGCTGCACACACACCTTTCACACAGGACACACATCCCCTGCTCACTATCCTAGAATGCAGTGAAGTGGCTCAAAATCCACCTTCTTTCTCTCCTCCTTCTGTCTTCTGTTGTTCCCATGAATTTCTGGAAGACAGGCCCTGAAACACTAGAGAGTTGGACATTTCATCATCCTCTTCTCCTGAACAGTCAATATTCTTGCAAAGCTCTATTTGAAAATAATTCTAAGTAATTACTCATTTCTTATTGCAGCCTTAGTTTCCCTCGTAAAAGTTCAAATACATCGGAACATTATGATCCTGGGGCAGGAGGGTAGCTCAATTGTTCTTCACTTACCCAGCTTATATGAAGACCTGGATTCCATCCCAGACACTGCAAAATAATAATAACAACAAGATGATGATTCCAAGGAACATAATCTTTGAGGTTTTCCTCATCTCAGCTGTGCATTGGTGTCCTGGGGAACTCACTGCTCTTCCTGTTATATGCTTACACCTTCTTAGTTAAACCCCATCTGAAGAAGCACATCGATCCCATGGTTATGCACCTGGTGTTGGCCAATGCTTTGACCATCATGTTCACCTTGATACCAGATATAGCATCCACCTTGGGAGTAAGGCGGTTTTTGAACGAGGTTGGCTGTCAGACAGTTTTGTTCTTATACAGAGTGATGCGGGGTGTTTCTATCTGCACCACCTCTCTGCTGAGTGCATTTCAAGCCATCACTGTTGGTCCCAGTAACTCTAAGTGGGCATGGCTTAAATTTAAGCTCCCTACATGGACTTGTCCTTTGTTCCTTTCCTTCTGGGTCCTTAACATGCTCATCTACTTCCACATCATTGAATCCATCACAGCCATTGGAAATTTCACCATAGATGGTCATGGCTATGCTGATGCATATTGTAGAAACAGAAATTTTGGAAAACACAATTCATCATCATTTTTTATTCCCCTGCTGGTTCGAGATCTAGTGTTTGTGTTCCTCATGATCTGCACCAGCCTGTACATGGTGAGTCTCCTCTACAGACACCACAGGAGAGCCCAGCATGTCCGCAGCCCCCGTGTCTCCTCCCAGACATCCCATGAACACAAAGCCACCCGCACCATCCTCTTGCTTGTAAGTTGCTTTGTGTTCTTTTATTTCTCAGACAACTGTTTGACTCTTTATTCCTTTTATGCACACAAGAAAATCCCAAGTCTGGGGGAGTTTACTAGAGCTTTATCATCCTGCTACCCAACCATCTGCCCCTTTTTGCTGATGAAAAATAAAAGAACTGTTTCCTAATTCATTCTTTTCAGTTAATGAGAATGACAGGTTCCCACAGGGCAGCTGATGCCTGGTGTGATGCCCCAGGCTTTAGTCTGCAACAGGGCACGGTCCATAATGATTTAGAGGGGTCAAGAAAGGCCATTTGCCTTGAGCACGTCAAACTACACGAGTTTAAGTTCAGACATTCTACAAGTTTGAAATGCACTCAGAAGACTTACTGTGAATAAAGTATGTGAAGATCACACTGATAACTTTCAAACGTATTACGTGTTCTACTTGTACTTTGGACAAAATGTATTTATTTCTACTTACTATTCAAATTATCTTATATGCATCCTTATGGACGTTTTAAAATAGCCATGGGAAAACATAAATTCAAATTGGGGTTCGCATCATATATGTTAAAGTGTGCTGGCCTAAGAAACTGCTTCTGTGTAACCCACAAATGCACATTGCGCACCTTACATTTTCTAGGCACCACTTTGGGCCTTGGATTTACTCCAGTATCCTAAGAGCAATAAGACTTGATAACCAAAGAGACTACATAGGCTCTTCATGGTGTAGGAAAATTTTCAAAGTTACTATTCATAAGAAATCCCATGGGGGCTGGGGTTGTAGCTCAGTGGTAGAGTGCTTGCCTACCAGGCATGAGACACTGGGTTCCATCCCTGGCACCACATAGAAATAAACAAAAAAAATAAAGGTATTGTGTCCATCTACAACTAAAAACTTTTCAAAACCAAAAATGAAAGCCCATGATTTGAGGTAATCACTAAAATGTTTTAATACATCTTTTTAATATTGAAAAATTGTTGTTTGTTTGACATATAACTACCAATTAATGTAAAAAATAAAATAACTAATATATACACTAATATAAAATATGTTCACTGAACATCAAGTAGAATTGTTTCAATGTTTTCAATGAAAAAGACTGATGCAAATTTAATTATTTTATGTAGGTTTTTAAACAAGAAATCTATAGTGGCCAATAAGAGCTTCTAACTAGCATGATGTGACCAGGTTAAACCTTTTAATATGAATAAAAATAACTTTCAGCATCTTTACCCTATATATTCTAACTAAGGGGATATGCTGGCCTCAGGCTGGAAATTACAGGTCTTAGATCCTCAAGCCAATCATCATCCGCAGGCCACAAAAACAAAATGAGTAATGAGTTTCACAAAGTGAGAACAGAATATCAAACAGAGATGTGCTCTGTATATTGAAGGGGAATAATGCCTAATTCCCAGGGCATACAGTGCAGTAAGAGCACAGAATCAGGCACAATTCAGGAACCCAGGAGGAAGAACCAAACAAGAGCAGTGGAAGAAATAAAAAGCCTTGTGCCCTGGGAGGAAGTGGGAAGGGTATTTGCTGGCTTTAGGGACCAGGTAGCATCCAGGTAAGACCAGGAACAGCAGTGGGTAGCCACGCTATGGGAGCCATCTTCAGGCAGAGAGGACAAAATGAACCAAGGCACTGAGGCACAGACCTACTGACTTCTCAGGAGACAGTGGAGGGCTGGTGCTGGGTGACGAAATGTAACCCAGCCAGGGACACAGGGAACAGAAGGGAAACCCCTCCAACAGGAGGGCAAAACACCTTCCCCAGTGCAGCTCCACCTGCTCCCTGTGGAGATAAAGAAGCTGAGGATCACTCTGCAGGTCACCCTCTGCCCCGAGGACCTGGTCCCTGGATTCAAATCCATGAGCAGAATCTTCCCTAATGTAAACGGTGGCTTTTCCAAAACGTAAAACAAAAATACAAGCCACGCAAACAAGACTGAAAAGAAAAAGACAGTAAGCTTCAGCCCTGGTGTCCCAGCTGCCACACTAGCCAGACAGGTCTGCTTGGTGGCTCACCCTGGCTCACTACTGCAGGGCACTGAGCATTTCATGCTCCGGACCCAGCTCCCCTCAGAAAGCAGTAAACACCAGTCCAAATAGAAACTCACCCCAAGCAGAAGCAGCATCCTTCACACTAACCTAGCACAGGTGAGCCCTCTTCTCACCCAGTTTCACACATGCACACGCATAATGCTCTGGAGCATTAGGTTCCTCTTGGTGAGGTAGTTCCTAGTCTAAAGCAGCAAATGTCACAGTGTCTACACTCGCATGGATGGGTAACTGTCATGGAAGGCCCACACCCAAACTCCTTCTCCCCTGATTCTCAGACTAAGGTGATCCCCCCCACCCTTAGATCATAACAAACTAATAACTAGAAACAAAGAGATGAAGTCCTACAAAATGAAAAAAAAATTAAAAACAGTCAAAAAACCAAGAGAGAATCTGTGTGATCACACTAACAGTCTAACCTTGGCTGCAGAGGAGAGAACCAGTCGGTTCATCCAGCTACAGGCACTTCATAAAGCACCCAGGTCATTCACAACTCACGAAAACAAGGGTGGGGGGAATTTTAGGTGGAAATAAAATTAACACCAACTGATGCTCAGGAAACAGTTCTAAAACGCCACACAGAGGGATGTTGGGCAAAAGTGTCTATGGAGTCATCTACAGGCCAGGCCCTCAGGGCTGCTTCCAAGGGGCAGCAACATTGGCAGTTGCTGGCTCCAGGTGGGCCCAGGGGCCCAAGGGACTTCTGGGCTCTGTGTGCCCCATTGACTCCTGCAGCGCCTGTTGCCAGGGCCCCACTTTGTCACTTGCTCCTACTCCAGCGGGTCTCTCCACTGCAGCTCATTCCTGAGTTCTGAGACAGCCTCTGAGAATTTACTGCAGACACCAGAACACAGCACCCCGCAGAGACCCGAGTCCGGAATCTTAACACATCTCTTCACGTCAAAGACATATTCTCCAGTGGCCACCAGCACGAAACACCCCACGAACGGGGTCCTTGGAAAGAAATTTGCTTTCCTCCTCTGCTGGCTAGTCTGAGCTCAGGAGTCCTTGTCTGGGGCTCCAGGGAGCACTGTCTCTGGCTCACAGAAGGCCACCTTCTCACTGTTGTCTCCCATGCCCCTGGGGAGAGAGGCTGCCGTCTCTTCTTATAAGGACAATAATCCCTCTGGTACAGGACCTTACCTTCGCCTTATGTAACCTTCATTATTTCCAACCCCATTTCCAAATGCCACCACATGTGCTTTGGGGAACTTGTTTTTTCTTTATCTTCTATTCCGTCTTGTGTCTGCCTTTCTCAGGCAGTAAGTGACCAGGAAGCTGACTTCCATGGAGTGCCTGTGAATCTCTTCCCCTCCTCCATGAGGAGGAACCTGAAAATTAGGTTCTTGTTTTGTGGAATCTGATTTTATTCCTCTTACATCTGGGGCTACCCGGGACGCTACAGCCTCAGAAGACACTACTGGTGTCCCTGATGTTTGGTCATTTTCAATGCCAATAACTAAGCTACAATGGTTCTCCCACACCTGGAAGCTGATGAGTAGTGAGCACTATTAATGCTTATTTCAAATGCAAAAAATCTTGAGATAATGTACTAAATTGTTCAGAAGGTTGTTTTCTTAGCACCTGCTGGAATACTACAGGATTTTCTTTAACATCATTGCCGGAGTTCCTGCCTTCATCCCAGTGCAGGTGAAAACGAGGGTGGAAGAATTTCCAGTGTTGCTGAAAACCGGACGAGACTTCGGATCAAGCTAGCTGCCTGCAGAACTTACCTGGACTGTGATTTAAGCTAGCTGCCTGCAGAATTTACCTGGACTGTGATTTACCTGGACTGTGAGTTAATCTATTGAGACACTGCTTTACCTGGACTGAGACAACAAACTGTAATCTATAACAAATTGTAACTCGGTATCTTTGCTAACAGTGTCATTGCTGGTATAATTTTTCCAAGGGCTTCTTGCATGGAGCCATCAATTGGCTTGGTATTGTGGCATTTTGTATCCTCCCTTTCTGTTTGTAGCAGGTTATTTATGGTGTTTCTGTAAAAACCACTATGGTCGTTATTTAAATTAAACAAAAGGGGGAAATGTTAGAGTCTGTAAACAAGTCAAAAATAACACCTGGCATTTTGCCAGGGGAATGTTAGAGTTCGTAAACAAGTCTGGATGGTGCCTGGCAAAACGCCTGAGGGAGTGGTTTGAGAAGTAACAAAAACAAGCCATTAAGTGTGGAGATTCCTTATT